CAACAATGGAAGTTTTTAAGGAGAAATAGTCTAGGGTTTCCTGCCTGAGCAGGGGCTGGACTGGATGACCTCCAAGTTCCCTTCCAACATTATTATTATTATTATTATTATTATTATTATTATTATTATTGTTGTTGTTGTTGTTGTTGTTGTTGTTGTTGTTGTTGTTGTTAATTAGATGTGAACCTCAGACAACTGAACATTCAAATTGACTGGCGCTGATGGTTGACACGGGCTGCTGCCAGCATCCTAGCTATCAACCAGGTACCTCTTTAAAATGTAAGATGTTCCGAGTAGCACAGTTGTTTTTATTATTATTATTATTATTATTATTATTATTATTATTATTATTATTATTATTATTATCTTTGAACGGACACTAAAAGCAATTGGTCAAGAACTACCTATATACTCTTCAAATGTGCTGGATCCAGAATTATTGGCCACAATGGTTTGATCAAAGCTCTGCTGGTCTTTTTGTGTGTGTGTGTGTGTGTGTGTGTGTGTGTGTGCCTTTTGCTGGCACCTCATTGTGATGGAGATTTATGTCCAACGCACTTGGAACTCACCACAGGCCACAGGAAGCTCAAGCAAGAGCTCCGGACATCCCTGAAGACGACGAAAAAGAAAGAAAGAAAGGAGCCCTTGGCCTACGACCACAATGGCGCGCAAAATTTCCGTTGCTAAGCGAGATACACATTAAGTGAGTTTTGCCCCATTTTACGACCTGTTCAGCGAGTCGCTGCAATGGTTCGGTTAGTAATGCGGTTGTTAAGTGAATCTGGGTTTCCTATTGACTTGTCTGCGACCGTCATAGATACGAGCCAGGGGCCAAGAGTTCGAATTTTGATCACGTGACCACGAAGAAGCCTCAAGTGTGAAAAGAGGCCCTAAGTCCCTTTTTTCACTAACGGTCACTAAACGAATCATTGCAAGTCAAGGGCTATATCTGGATTTTTAAAAGGCCACCAGCCCTTCCTGGGAGAAGGAACCCTAATACTACTCTTTGGGCTGGGGACGATGGGCTTTTTAGTCCAATTTCCAGGGAGCCTAATTGGGAAAGGCTGACCTTACCCTTAACAAGTTCCCCCCAGCTGTGGAGAACAGATCCCAGTCTCTGATCCTTCTCTTTTTGAATGCAGGGAGTCCTCAACTTACAACGCTTCATTTAGTGACCGCCCCAAGCTATGACGGCCCTGAAAAAAAGCGACATAGGACCGTTTTTCACACTTATGACTGCTGCGGCCTCTCCGTGGTCACGTGATTGTAACTCAGACGCTCGGCCATGGACTCGTATTGATCCCCCAGATCACGTGATCCCCTTTTGTGACCTTCTGACCAGCAAAGTCAATGGGCGGAGCCAGATCCGCTTAACGACCGTGCGACTCACTTAACCACTGCAGTGATTCACTTAACAACCGTGGGAAGGTCGTAAAATGGGGCAAAACTCACTTAAGGTATGTCCCGCTTAGTAATGGAAATTGCAGGCTGAATTGTCGTCGTATGTCGAGGACTCCCTGTATTGTATAGACTGGGGTAGCCAACCTCGGCTTTTTTATGACTGGTGGACTTCAGCTCCCAGAATTCCTGAGCCAGCCATGCTGAGGGGAAAGGGTTTCCAAGCTGAGCCATGCTGGCTCAGGAATTCTGGGAGTTGAAGTGCACAAGTCATAAAGGGGCCACAGTTCCCCATGCTGGCTCAGGAATTCTGGGAGTTGAAGTCCACGAGTCATAAAAGAGCCAAGTTTGAAGACTCCTGTCTTAAATCTAACAAACAAAATGGAGGCTGGCTGAGGAATTCTGGGAGTTAAAGTCCACCAGTTATAAAAGAGACAAGGTTCCCCACCCCTGATCTAGGGCTAGGGTAGGCCACCGTGGTTCTTTTATGACTGGTGGACTTCAACTCCCAGAATTCCTCAGCCAGCCTGGCTTAGCTTGGAAACCTCTTCATTTCCCCTCAGCATGGCTGGCTCAGGAATTCTGGGAGTTGAAGTCCACCAGTCATAAAAGAGTCAAGGTTCCCCACCCCCGGTATAGGTAGTCCCTACTTACAACAGTTCATTTAGTGACTGTTTAAAGTTACAACAGCACTCAAAAATATGAAATGACTGTTTTTTTCACATTTGCAACCATTGCAGCATCACGTGATCAAAATTCGGACACTTGGCCACTGACTCAAGAGTTATGACGGTCGCAGGGTCCCTGGTATCATGTGATCTTCTTTTTGTGACCGTCTGACAAGCAAAAGTCAACGGGGGAAGCCCGATTCGTTTAACAACTGTGTGACTCACTTAACAACAGAGGCAAGAAAAATCATAAAACGGGGCAAAACTCACTAAACAATTGTCTCGTTTAGCCATTGTAGTTGTAAGTCAAGGACCATCTGTATGCTTTTTGGGGGGATCTGTTTTGGTTCTGCATCTTCGTTCCAGCCTGGAAAAGTCACAGACACCCACTGAAAATCCGGGCTATGCAGGGTCTCCAGCATCAACCAAGGAAATGTGGTTTGTCTTTTGTCAAGGTATTAATTTGGCAGCTAACCAGCTTATGTAGTGTGGGATGTAAAATGTAATGTAATGATGGGAATGACTCAGCAGGGTCTGTGTCTCTTTAAGAGCCTTGTATAAAAGGGAAGGCTCTACTGATGTGTTCTCTCTCTTCCGTTTCCTGCTGTAATTGTGGCTTGTTGGATCCTGCTGTATTAGCACATGTATGTATATTGTTCCCAGTGTATGATATTGTAGCTAGTGTAAGATAAACCACCATTTAATATAAACCACTGTTTACTGTGTTTATTCCTGAGTTAGCTCAGCGCAATAAGTTAGTGCATACTCTGACATCTTCCTTAAGCCAAGAACAAACCCAGTTTTTGGATTCCCAAGCCCTCCTGCAAGTCCTCTAGTTATGACCAGAAATGGGGCAGAATTCCCATCGCTAAGCGAGGTGGTTATTGAGAGACTCAGGGTTGATTTTATAAACCTCCTTTTCCCACAGCTGTTCAGTGAATTTGTGCAGCGGTTAAACGAATCACATGATTGTTATTAAGGAAATCACTTTGGTCATATTGTGCAGTCGTTAAGCGAATCCAGATCCTCCCTGTTGAATTTCCTGGTCGGAAGCTGGCAGGAGGATCCCAAACGGGGATCACGTGACCCCGAGACGCTGCAACCGTTGTAAATACCGGTCGCCAAGCACCCAAATCTCGACCATGCGATCCTAGGGCTTCGGCAAGGGTCGTAAGTGCGAGGACAGGCCGTAAGCCATTTTTTTCAGGGCCACTGAAACTTCGGTCGCTAAATGAATGCTTGTAAGTTGAGGGACTGTCTGTCTTTAGACGCCAGAGCCTTCCTGTCAGCTGCAGAGCCCATCGGCCTGACCCCTCCCCTGCCTGCTGTGGAAAGGTGTCTGGGTGATTCAACAAGGACTGGTTTCGCACCCAGAAGCCAAAAAAGACTTGTGTCGTCTTGTGGTTCAAACGGAAACCATTTGGATGAGTCAAATCCTGCAGTCTCTCCTCCTGAGGAACCCAAGGAAGGGAAAAGCCCAGGTTGAACCCAACGGCCGGCTGAATAACAGAAAGAGAATAACAGAGCCGGGAGGGACCGTGGAGGTCATCTAGCCCAACCCCCTGGTGTAGCAGGAGAACCTATATACCATTTCAGACAAATGGCTGTCCAGTCTTCTCTTTAAAACCTCCAGTGATGAAGCACCCACAGCTTCTGGTGGCAAGCTGTTCCACTGGTTAATTGTCCTCACTGTCAGGAAGTTTCTCCTTAGTTCTAGGTTGCTTCTCTCCTTGATGAGTTTCCATCCGTTGCTTCTTGTCCTGCCTTCAGGCGCTTTGAAGGATAGCTTGACTCCCTCTTCTTTGGGGCAGCCCCTGAGATATTGGAACACTGCTATCATGTCCCCCCTCATCCTTCTCTTCATTGGACTAGATGCAACTGTTTTTTTTTATAATTTAGCTTCCACTAAAAAGTCGATCCCACCTCAATATTTATGGAGACTGTCACTTATCCAGGTCATGGGTGCCCCCAAAGGGCTTTTCTCCGAAAGGCAACTGGAGTTTCTTGGTTTTTCCCTTGAAAACATTTCACTTCCCTGCTCAGGTAGGAGACCCTTGTGGAGTAATAGAGCTGGAAGGGACCTGGGAGGTCATCTAGCCCAACCCCCTGCTCAGGCAGGAGACCCTTGTGGAGTAATAGAGCTGGAAGGGAACTCGGAGGTCATCTAGTCCAACTCCCTGCTCAGGTAGGAGACCCTTGTGGAGTAATAGAGCTGGAAGGGACCTTGGAGGTCATCTAGTCCAACCCCCTGCTCAGGTAGGAGACCCTTGTGGAGTAATAGAGCTGGAAGGGACCTTGGAGGTCATCTAGTCCAACCTCCTGCTCAGGCAGGAGACCCTTGTGGAGTAATAGAGCTGGAAGGGACCTTGGAGGTCATCTAGCCCAACCCCCTGCTCAGGCAGGAGACCTTTGTGGAGTAGTAGAGCTGGAAGGGAACTCGGAGGTCATCTAGTCCAACGTCCTCCTCAGGCAGGAGACCCTCATGGAGTAATAGACCTTGGAGGTCATCTAGTCCAGCCCCCTGCTCAGGCAGGAGACCCTTGTGGAGTCATAGAGCGGGAAGGGACCTTGGAGGTCATCTAGTCCAGCCTCCTGCTCAGGCAGGAGACCCGGTACCATTTCTGACAAATGGCTGTCCAGTCTCTTCTTAAAAATTGCCAGTGTTGAAATCTCACACACACAGTCCATGCTCTCCATCAGAACCGGCACCCAAATTCTGGCAGCACCAGCATCCTTTCACCGATCCAACCGTTCTTCTAAACATTCCCACCCCCTCAAAAAAAAAAAAAAAAAGCCCCGTCCACATGACTCAACCTGGCTTGCAAAGGGATTTTCCCTGCCCGGGTTAGGAAAGAGCCCCCCCCCCGCCCCTGCTACCCTCCACGGGATGAGCTCAGGGGCTTGAGCAAGACCTGGGCGCCTTCCCTTCCCTTCCTTGCGGCTTTGCTGTCTTGGCCGCCCTGCCTCCTGCTCCTGGCCCTCCTTGCCCCACCTCGCCTGCTCCCCCTGGCCAAGGCCTGCCCTCCCCTCTGGGCAGGGGCTCGGTGGAGCTAGACAGGTTTTGTGGAATGGTTAACCTGGGGCAATTCCACCCTGAGCCAATCACCTGAGCCCAGCCTCAGCAGCACCAGCAACAGCAGCAGCAGCAGCTGGAGACCTCAGCGCCCAGGCACCTGTTCCAAACTTCCCAGGGCCGAGAAGACGAAGACACCTGTGGCAGCAGCCTTGGCAGCCGAGCCCTCCTGCCCAGCCATGAGTCTCACCCGGGTGGCCCTGGTGCTCCTCTGCCTCCTAGGGGCCGCCCTGCCGGAGCCCCCCCAAGAGCCAGCTGTGCAGGAGCTCTGGGCTGTCCTGTCTGATAGCCAGGAAGGCGCCCTGCCCCGTCGCTCGGTGGATGCCCTGTTAAATATTGCAAGGTCCCGGGTGCAGTGCTCGGCCGTGCCGTGTGAAAAGGTACCGTGTGGGGCTAGCGGGCGGGCGGGGTCCTCCCTGCCGCTGGAAAGCCTGGGTCAAACTCCAGCCTGGGTGCAAAGGGCTGGGGCGCCGGGCAGGAGTGGTCTCAGCAAGACCAGCAGCAGCTGCAGCTGCTTAAAGGAGAGAAAGAGGCACAGGGGAAGAGAAGTGGGGAGTGGGACTTGGGCCTGGCTTTGCTGACCTCCACCCCCGACACCCCCGAATTTCCTAGCTTCGGCGACAGGCTGTGCCCGTGGGAGCCCAGGCACCTTAAGGCTGCCCTTCGCCGGGGCCAGCTGGGTTCATAACTCCTCCATCTGCGTGACCATTCCAAAACAATACAGAAGAACAGATTTGGAAGGGACCTCGGAGGTCTTCTAGTCCAGCCCCCCTCCCCCTGCTAAGATAGGAATCCTTATAACATTCCGGACAAATAGCTGTCCGGTCTCTCTTTCAGTGTTGGAGCATTCACAACTTCTGGAGGGAAGTCGTTCCACTGGTTTAATTGTTCTCCCTGTCAGGAAACCTCTCCTTATAGGAGGCCCTATAGAAAGAGCGGGGTCTTAATCTACAACGGCCCCCAAATCCGGGGGATTCTCACCCGCATCCCAGCTACTCACTTGGCTTCACAGGCAAATTTGGTGAGCTTCGTCAGAGACGCTGAGAGCAAGGAAGTCGCGGTGCAGAGAAACTTCTGCTTTTGAATGTTTTGGGGGAGTTTTGCAATTGCGTTAGTTGGGAAAACTGTCACCGGATAAGAGGGGGAGGGGGGTTCGGGGGCTGGCTGGCAGACCCCAGAAGGAGGTTTCACCTAGTCAAAGAAATGGGTTGAGGGCTGAAATCAAGAGGAGGCAGTCTCTCTCCCTGTTTTTAAAATTAGTTTATAATATAAAATACAAAAATACAAAAGGAAACAGTAGGAAAAATAGGGGAGGGAGAAGGTGGCGTAGGGTCTCCTGCTTGAGGTGGGGTTGGACTAGATGACCTACAAGGTCCCTTCCAACTGTTGTTCTAGTCTAAGGAAAGGGAAAACGGTAAAAAGAAAGAAATAGTGTTTACGTCCGACTCCCTTTGGTGTGTAGGAGAATAATCCAATCAAACCTCAACTTTTTTTTACGTAATAATATAAACTAGCCATTTCTAGAACAACAAAGCTATCTAGTGAGTGAAAACCCCAAATCAAAGTTTCATTTTTTCCCCACCTCAAGCACAAAGTCCAGAAGTGGTTTCCAAGGAGAAATAAAAGTAATTGTCTTTTTTGCTTTAATTAAGGTAGTCCGTTTAGCCCAGGGGTAGGCAACCTTGGCTCTTTTATGACTTGTGGACTTCAACTCCCAGAATTCCTGAGCCAGCCATGCTGAGGGGGGGGGAAAGGGAGAGGTTTTTAAGCTGAGCCATGCTGGCTCAGGAATTCTGGGAGTTGAAGTCCATGAGTCACAAAAGAACCAAGGTTGCCTACCTATGGTCTAGGACTACCTGTGTAGACCAGGAAATAGCAATATAATTCCCTCAGATCGACATCACTCCCATTGCAGTGGTGAACACCAAAATTAGTTCCTAAAAACATTAAATGTTACTTGTGTTATTTTAGTCTTCTCACTTGAAATCAAGTCAGATCTTAGATTTAAAAACAAATTTAAAAAACAAATCTCAGGATTTAAAAAAACAAATCTCAGAATAGGTTTCTGTATAGGTATAGTATAGGTCAGGGGTAGGCCACCTGGGCTCTTTTATGACTGGTGGACTTCAACTCCCAGAATTCCTGAGCCAGCCTGGCTCACCTTGGAAACTTCTCCCTTTCCCCTCAGCATGGCTGGCTCAGGAATTCTGGGAGTTGACATCCAAAGTTTTAAAGTTCCCATGGTTGGACACCTATAATATAGACCAGGGGTAGACAACCTTGGCTCTTTTATGACTCGTGGACTTCAACTCCCAGAATTCCTGAGCCAACATGGCTCAGCTTGGAAACCTCTCCCTTTCCCCTCAGCGTGGCTGGCTCAGGAATTCTGGGAGTTGAAGTCCACGAGTCATAAAAGAGCCAAGGTTGCCTATCCCTGGCCTATACCCAGAAGGTTTTATTCTACTGGCAATCTGTGTTAACAAGCATATTTGTTTCTTGAGGCAAGAATTTGCTGTTATTAGGAAGAAAAAAATACAGTCTGAGGTAGTGCTTCCCAACCTTGGTGTGTCTGGACTTCAATTCCCAGAATTCCTGAGCTAGCCTGGCTCAGCTTGGAAACCTCTCCCTTTCCCCTCAGCATGGCTGGCTCAGGAATTCTGGGAGTTGAAGTCCACCAGTCATAAAAGAGCCAAGGTTCCTCACCCCTGGTCTAGGGCAGGGGTAGGCAACCTTGGCTCTTTCATGACTCGTGGACTTCAACTCCCAGAATTCCTGACTCCCAGAATTCCTGAGCCAGCCATGCTGAGGGGAAAGGGAGAGGTTTCCAAGCTGAGCCATGCTGGCTCAGGAATTCTGGGAGTTGAAGTCCACGAGTCATGAAAGAGCTGAGGTTGCCTACCCCTGGTTTAGCCTTCTCTGCAGACTCCTTCAAATTCTGCAGCTGTTCGTCTGTTGTGGGAATCTAAAAAAATGTCCTTCCATTTTTGTGCGTCATCTTGGGTGTGTGTGTGTGTGTGTGTGTGTGTGTGTGTTGTCTCTCGAGAGGGTGATGTGGAGGCCATACGATGAAGCCAGTCACCCCAACCACGATGTCACCACATAGTCCTCAGATTATGACCACTGTTGAGATCAGAGTTTCCATTCTCCAGCGAGGCGGTTTTTAAGTGAGGGGTGCCTTGTTTTACCACCTTTTTGGCCACCGTTGTTAAGTGAATCGTGCAGTCGTTAAGCGAATGAGGCTTCCCATGTTGACTTTGTTTGTCGGAAGCTGGTTGGGAAAGTCGCAGATGATGATCACATCAGCCCGGGATGCTGCGACCGTCACAAATATAGGTCATCCTCGATTTACAACGATTCATTTACTGACCGCTCAACGTTACAACGGCACTGAAAAAAAGTGACTTACGACCGTTTTTCACAGTTACGGCCTTCGTCGCCTCCCCCAGAGTCACGTGATCGAAATTCAGATGCTTGGCAACTGACTCGTGTTTACGACGGTTGCAGGGATCCCCCTTTTGTGACCGTCTGACAAGCAGAGTCAAGGCGGAAACCGGGTTCACTTAACAACCATGTGACTCATTTAAAAACTGCAGTGATTCGCTTACCAAGTGTGGCGAGGAAGGTCGTAAGATGGGGCAAAAATCACTTTAGAACTGTCTCCCTCAGCAATGGAAATTTTGAGCTCAATTTTGATCGTGAGTTGGAGGATGACCTGTGTACATGTTGGTTTGCTAAGCCCTGAATGTTGATCTGTGGCCCTGAGGACGTGGTGGTCATATGTGTGAGGGTCTGTTGTAAGTCAGTTTTTTTCAGTGCTGGTGTAGCTTTGAATGGCCACTAAACAAAGGGTTATAAATTAGGGAAATAGAATAGAATAGAACAGAATAGAATAGAATAGAATAGAATAGAATAGAATAGAATAATAAAATACAGAATAGAATAGAGTAGAATAGAATAGAAATACAGAATAGAATAGAAGAATAGAATAGAATAGAATAGAATAGAATAGAATAGAATAGAATAGAATAGAATAGAATAGAATAGTAAAATACAGAATAGAATAGAATAGATAGAATAGAACAGAATAATAAAATACAGAATAGAATAGAGTAAAATAGAATAGAATAATAAAATACAGAATAGAATAGAGTAGAATAGAATAGAAATATAGAATAGAATAGTATAATAAAATATAGAATAGAATAGAATAATAAAATACAGAATAGAATAGAGTAGAATAGAATAGAAATACAGAATAGAATAGAATAATAAAATATAGAATAGAATAATAAAATATAGAATAGAATAGAATAATAAAATACAGAATAGAATAGAGTAGAATAGAATAGAAATACAGAATAGAATAGAATAGTATAATAAAATATAGAATAGAATAATAAAATATAGAATAGAATAATAAAATATAGAATAGAATAGAATAGAATAGAAATACAGAATAGAATAGAACAGAATAGAATAGAATATTTATTTATTTATTTATGAGACTTATATACTGCTTTAAGTGCAAGCACTCTCTAAACCGAGTTGGAAGGGACCTTGTAGGTCATCTAGTCCAACCCCCTGCTCAAGCAGGAAACCCTACTACACCATTTCAGACAAATGGTATTTTGCCAAAGAGCAAACTATACTAGTCTCCCCCAAACATATGGGGCCTATGGCCATCGTCAGCCCAGACTCCTGCAGGTTGAGGAAGCTATCAAAACGCAGGAATTTCCCCCAAATCAGGATCAGTTAAAGAGAGAAGACGCAGAGTTTGACCAAAAGTCAGCATTTTTACCCCGACGGGCAAAGGGCCAAATGAAATTGTGAGGAGAGGGTCTCCTGGGTAGGGGGGCGAGACGGAGAAGGTCGTGAGTTGGAGAAAATAATTCCAGGGACAGGAATCTTTGGGAATGCTTTCATTTTGCAACCAGGAACCGCCCAAGCTTGCTCATTTCTGCCTATATAGGAGGGTTTACCAATCTTGGAAACATTAAGGGGGGGGACTTTGACTCCCAGAGCTGGCTGGGGAATTCTGGGAGTCGAAGTCCCCCCCTCTTAAAGTTGGAAAATCCTGGTACGAAGCCAAGGCAGGAAAAGTTCTCAGGCCGTCTCTGCACGGGAAAAACTGGAAATATCACTTGAGCGAGAAGCCTTGAAGGAAAATGCCGGGAGTTGCCTTGCGTTCCTAGGAGCTGAGTGCAGGAGGCTGGCAGGCAGATCCTCGCCCAGATGGGTTGCACAATGTTTGTGCCCAAGAGAGGAAAGTGTTTCAGTTGGAAGAGAGACAGAGAAGGGGGAGAGAGAGAGAGAGAGAGAGAGAGGGAGGGAGGGAGGGAGGGGGAGAGGGAGAGGGAGAGAGGGAGGGAAGGAAGGAAGG